CAGGGAAAGGGCAGGTTCCATAGGAGTGGCAGCCCATCAAAGCCATTCCAACCAGAAAGGAAAATGGAGCATACCACGGCCAGTTGGCCATCTCTAGGAAGAACTGTGAGGTTCTACACTAGAAGGTAGGAAGAGTTGAACAGGAAGTTTGGTCCAATTAAAGCCACTAAAAACCATTTTTTTTTTAAAAACAACTTCAATGCATTACATTAGTTCTCATAAAGAAGTGATTTACAAACAAATCCTCTTTACTAAGCACTCAGCCACTAGTTAGTATTCCTTGAAAATAATCAAGCTGTAGGACTTTAAATGAGATTTTAATGTATCACTTTTAAAACCAGGCAAAATTGGTGGTTCTTTCCTATCTTCTCTCATAATCATGCAGTACAGATTAAATGGTATTTTGCAGAACTAGCACAGTATTTGGCATCAAAAAGCCCTCAAGATTCAAATCCTTGCTTTACTTACTGTTCACTCTGCTTTTGAGCAAATCACTGAATCCTTCTGGGCTTGTCCCCTTATCTGTAAAAGGGATGGCTAACCTCACTAAGAGTGGTGTTGGATTTTATGTAGGTCTACGTGGGGATGCCACACATACAGGGCTGGGCACAGGTTCATAGCCAAAAGGTTAGGATCTCAAGAAAGAAGGGGGTACTTTGGAAACCATGTGAATGGATGAGAGCAAAAAACTGGGGTGGCCAAAACGGAACAGTCTGGTTGGATAAAAAGGCCAGAGATGGGGGTGGGGAGTCACTGCTAATGGGGACAGTGCTGCTTTTTGGGATGATGAAATGTTTAGAAGTTAGTGGTGCTGGTTGCACAACTAATAGTAACTAAAACCCTTCAGTACACTTTAAAAGGGCGGATTTTATAGTACATGCATTTTATTTCAATTATACTGTTATTTTAAAAAAGGATGCAGAAAACATGAATAAGGACATTTTGGAGAGGTAATGGAACATGAGGGATTTTCAAATTCTCTGGTGGGGTAGAGAATCAAGTTCTGGTCTGTAGTGTAAAAAGTCATTATTTAGGGAGGTTTTGTAAAAACCCATTTCTCTTGCTAAATTCTACAATTTTACATCCCACCATACCTTCTGAAGTTTCATTTTGAGAAGAGATTCTCCTTCATTTCTTGGGTTATCAGTGGAATATTCCTATGATGTTTTCGAACAATAGGTGATGGGCAGCTTTTCAGTACCTGTGGTGTTCCACCCTGGGTTTTAGGACATCATGAGAAATACTTACAGATACCAAAGATTTCATAATTACTACTGCAAACTGCCTCGATGGTACCGTTTCAATATAAACAACCACAGGCACAACCATTTAGATTTCTAATTTATTATTAAATTACATAACAAAGCTTCTCCTATACAGTCAGAAAATGCACATTTAGATGAGAACAAAAATTAAGTACAAATACAATAAATCTGGTTCCAAGAAACTATTTTAAAAGCAAAAACATAAGAAAGTGCATTTGGAATAGATTTTTAAAAATCTGTATTGGCATTTTTCATGAGGAAACATCTTTCATCATGGTAAAGTGTGACTGGAATTGATTAAGATCCCTCAAGACATGGCTCAGCTTTGTCTCAGCTTTTTATCCAATAAACATCCCTCAGAGTCACTTAGTCCTTCCTTATTTTCTTTTCCCAGAGAAGCTTAAGGATATGCAGGTTTATAAAAGAATGACAAGCTTGGTTTATAAAGACCATGATGAAAAGCCCTGCATCTGAGTAGAGACCAGGCTAAACAATCTCTGACCCAAAAGGAGAATGGAGCGCAATCATTTTACTTTTCTGAGTGGAATCCATTTGTGCGTTAGTTACATTTGCCACAGACTTTGGTATCATCCTAGACATGGCCATTTATCCTCCACGGCAAGTTAGAGAACTGGGTCAATTTCTAAAAAATCATATCTGGCTAATGATCAAACATGAGGTATTAGAAAACCAGAAAGGTTAGTCCAGTTCTTTAAAGTCCTTTTCATCAGGTTGAGATTATTAACAGTGAAATAGGAAATCAATGGTGGGAATGCAAGTCCAAGGTGCCTCAGTTCCATAGAGGCCAAATGTCATGACATCAAAAGGCTCAGTAAGTACATTTTCCTAGTCAGATGTATTCAGCATCCAGTAGGAAAGAATTAAAGTAAATATTATTTGGTTTCAGGTATAAAAAGTGCCCGCGTGATGTCTCCTCTCTTCACTTGTCTCAATTCTTAGGATTTTACTTCCATGCCTGATCTGCAGTAGGGAAAAAGGCATTCTCTATACAAGTGAATTTTGGTACAAAGGAGAGAGGAATAGTGAAGAAGGAAAGCCCTTTTCTAACACTAGAAAAATAAAGGGTGAGCAATGCAGGTTACAGGGAATCCTTCAGCATCCTTAAAAACACTAAGAAGAACATAGAGCCAGGACAGATCAACTGAAGAACTTGGGAGATCTGGGTTTGAATTTAGTCAATTAAATATTTTTAACTAAAGTTATCAGCACACATTAAAACAAAATCTCAGAAGTATATTTTTGGGAATTTTGTCCTTTGTATTGCCACGGTTTTTCATACCTCTTAGTGAAAAAGATAGTTCTGAATAGTTACTAAAATGATCCCAAAGGAAAGAGCCATTATTATGTAAGAAAATGGCTGAGGGAGAATAATTTCCCCTAAGAGCCAACTTCCTTCTAACCTCCCAGCTTTAAATAGCAACTTACAGTTGGCCCCTGAGCCTAGCAGCAGGTCTGTAAGGGCAGAAGGAAAGGGGAGGAAACCAGGATGGTTTAAAAAAAAAAAAAAAAAAAAAAGTTGAATGGCACGAAACTGAAAGAGTTCAAATCAGCTATCATGGGATTCAAATCCTCTTCCTGTAAATGGAATACTTCTATTTCCTTATTCCAGGGCTTGTTTCTGCGAATGAAGGAACTGTAAGAGGAGAGGATGAGCCCTGTCCTAGCTATCTACATTTGCCCTGGGTCACCTCACTATGGGCTGCAGCCCTGGGCGGTTAGTCAGACAGACCTACGTGACACCAACATCTACACCAAGCCTTTTCAACTTCCTTGGAAGAACTAGTTTCTTTTCATAAAGAAAATAACCAACATAATTCTATTACTTCATTTAAGCATAACCCTAACTGAAAGGCTCATCACCCATCAAAAATATGTGTTTGCTTAGTGCAGCAAGCTAAATTAGCTCAGGTCCTCAGTTTACTCTCACACAATCAGCTTTAATGACTGTACCAAATAATCAGACCAGTAAAAAACACTGGTAGTATAATTAAATAAATAACTTTATTTATGATACTTCAGATTTTATAAATGCCAACCATACAGCAACGAAAGTCCCATAAATTCTAGCTGAGGCACAACCACCAATCAAGACCCTTTGAAAAATCAAAGATAATAATAAAGTGTCAGGGGAGAGAAGTTTTTTTCTCCCAACAGAGAATTTAATAAATGAACTTCTGTAATCCTTTAAGGGTCACGTTGGGAAAACTTACTTTCTTTTAAGGGCATCCCCAATCAAGTAACTGATCGATCAACCCATATTTAGAAAAATAAACCCCATAGTTAAAAAAAAAAAGGTATCAAATGCCTTTCATACCCAGGACATAATAAAACTTAGACACCAGAAGGAAAAACCTCTCAGTTTCTGTACCAGACCAGCGGTTAGCATAGCCATCAGCCTGTGTATTAAGTTCATCTGAATGTCATCACCTACACACTGTAATGCAGTTAAGAACTACATGCTAATATCCTTTTATTCCCTGTGGCACAGTCTGAAGCCAATACTGTAAGTACCAGAGTCAATTCCAATGGTGAAGAGCAACCTTCTTACTTGGTGAGGAGTGCAGATGTTGAAGTCTTCAAGCTATTTGTGGTAGTTCAGTTAGACAAGTCATACATTTACAGAAACGGAGAAATGGTTAAACCTGAAAAGAATTCTGGTGGGTGGTTTAAAATTTTGTCACTGTCCAGATGATAGAAGACAGGTGCAGAGAGAGATTCTGTCACATGCACCTTCAACAGTAAAACCATTCTCTGGATGTTTGGAAAAAACAGATTTGGAGTAAATAGGTCTTTGTAAAACTCAGAATTCCTAATACATCAGGCAGTAGTTCTCAAACTTTTGCTCCTAGATCATGGAGCATTTATAAATGGAATTATCTGGATGGTGACCCCACAAATCAATGTCTTTTTACATGTGGCTTGTTGAATAGATCTCACTGAAAACTGAGCAGTCCCCTCATTCAGGGTTAATCCTGACATGATGAGGAATTGGTGGGGGCAATGACAGACACTGGCTATTAGTTACTTTTATCATGGTAGAACCGAAATTTCATTTACTTGTAGTAGGAAATATTAATCCAATGGAAGATATAAACAAAAAATCAAAACAATGACTGACAAAAAAAGCCTGTTATTCTTGATGCTTTTCCAGTAATACAGTCAACCCTAGTGTGCATACAATTTACAAAAAGAAGGAAAAAAAAAGGTTTTTTGCAGTGTTTGTCTTCTGTTTCAGACAACCTCAACTGTGTTGAAGTTGACCTGTTGGCATCTCAAAGAATCTGTGAAAAATGTAATTTTCCTTGAATACCAAAACAGGGATGCAGAGTAGAAATTTATAGCACAGCTTATCAAGAAATGACTTGTGATTTCTCATCATGAGTGTAAAATAAAAGGACAAGAACTATTTTTATTCACAACCCAATCTGGGGGCTAAAAGGAAAGCAGTCTTTGGATACAGAGAAACCTGGTTTTCTGAGGAGTCCAGCTCTAAGACCTGGCTTGTCATCAGCCTTCAACACAATTACTGAAGCACAGAAACTCTGTTTCTGATTGGTTTACTTACCTCCTGGGAGGACAAAAGCAACTGAAAACTTTTTTTTTTTTTAAACTAAAAACAGAAGGAAATGTGTGTTAGAAAAGAGAGCACAGAAAAACTGTGGCTTCAGCTCAATCTGACCACGTGACAGAGTCCAGAGCTATAAGTCATGAATTAATCCTGCTGGTGAGGCTAATCATCAGGACAATCAACTTCTCCTTCCTACTTTTCCTTATTCCAGATCAGGGTGGGAAAGTGGTGGCTGTCCAGAGTCCCCGGAGATGTTCCATCAATGGAAAGCATACAGCAGCAACAGGATGGTACAGACGCCAATGACACCGCCCAGGATGAGGGAGTCTCGCCGCTTCCTCAGATTGATCCGCTGGATCAGGCTGTTCACAGCAGGAAAATGATCTTTGGGAAATCTTTATTAAGGTCATATTTAAAGAAGCCTCTTTAGTGAAAAGTCACAGGAGTCACAAAAATAGAGATCAGTGTAGTCCAGAAACAATAAATAAGAAGAAGAAATACAGGGGAAGAAAATTACACTGAGGGAGTCTTTAAAAAACATATGCCCCAGCTGGGGGTGTCCTACTAAACAAGGACCCAAACAAATCGAGGAATTACTACCAAGCTTCAGGTCAGGGTGGGAGCCAGTGTGTGAACGGAGGAACAATGCAGGGCAGGGAGGCACAGGTAACAGCCACCTCCCACTGCCGCCACCCTGTTCCCCCAACTCCCTCCTTCGGCTCCCTCCCCCTCCCCCACCTCTTCATCGCTCTTTAAACCCCCTTCTCTCAGGAGAGTAGGAAGTTTTGCCAGAAGAGTTTTGAAGAAGTAACTGATCTTCTCTTTCAGGGTGACAACCCCCTTAGAATTGGACAATTGGTGGGAACCAACTCTAGGGTCTGAATAAATCAGTTGCTGGTGAATTATTTAAATTTTTAAATTTACTTTGCAGCAGTAGGTAGGATATGGTAGGAAAGTGGGTTACACTGTTCTAGCTGTCCTACTTGGGAAACATAAAAAAAGGAAATTTCCAATTTTAGAGGTTTAAAAACAGTCACAACTATATTTTACTTAGTATTTCAAAGTATCTTCATACTCTAGTTTGTATGTTGTAGACCAAAGCAAATGCCTGCGCATCCTGTATTGTTTTGCATGTCCAACAATATACCTGCAGTGCATCCTCTTTAACAGAGAGATAGCCTATCGAAGTCAAAAAACCACCAACAAAAACCACCTACAATACTGGACAGCTGGAATAATACCTCCACGCTGTGAATCCTGATTGCATTTTCCTGTAACTAAACTACTCAGCAGGGACTATATTCGTGCACTTATATATTCTACATATTATATGATTAGGACCATGTCTTCTACTAATCTTGAATTTCCCTGTCTACCCAGAATAGAGCTTCACATACCGTAAGCATTAATGTGTTTTTTGAAATAACGAAAAAAAAAATTTGCAGAAATAATTTTTAAAATATACAAGAACAGGAAGCATGAAATAATAGGCAAAAACTTTTACAAGGTATTGGGAGCCTGGGTGGCTCAGTCGTTAAGCATCTGCCTTCGGCTCGGGTCATGATCCCAGGGTCCTGGGATTGAGCCCTGCATCGGGCTCCCTGCTTGGCGGGAAGCCTGCTTCTCCCTCTCCCACTCCCCCTGCTTGTGTTCCCTCTCTCTCTGTGTCTCTGTCAAATAAATAAAATCTTAAAAAAAAAAAACTTTTACAAGGTACGAATCTCAAACAGAGCAAATGCTTAATCTTTTTTTGCTTAGTAAAAGGATCAACAATCCCCTTATAAGGAGTACGCAAAACTTCTGGCATTAGGAAACCCTGTCTCTAATGGGCACCTTTCTGTCCAGTTTACCTTTAGGGAGCCCCCTCCTTCTCCTACATAGTAATCTAGTTCAGTCCATGTAATAGTGTGGGCTGACCTTGTCCTCTGCCATCAGGTATATGTACAAACTCAGGATTGGCTAGGAAGAATATTTATAGTGACTCTAGCTGGGGAAACTACAGTCTTCTTGAGACTTTTATCACAGCTATTAGAAAAGACCCCCCTTTCCATGGGGATTTCTGAACTAATAGAAGGTGACTCGTATAGCCATCTCTGTCACCATGAGGAGAAAATCTGAGAATGAGGCCAACCACAGGAAAGAAGAGATGGAGTAGGTAGGGGGAAAAGAGAGAGGAAAGGCAGATTAATAATAAAATCTGACAATAAAATCTGAGCTCTTGAATCGATCCATGCCTTAAGCCAAATTCTACCCGAGAATTTTAGATAAATATAAACAAATTAATTCCCTCCTTTCCCTCCTTAAGTCAGTCTGAATTGGGTTTCTGTTACTACCTCTCTATGGAGTCCTGACTAATACCCATTTTACTTGATTTTTTTGAACACACATTGTTCTGGAAGTATTATAATTTGATGATACAATGTATATAGCAGTACTCTGTCAACTGTATAGCCCTATATAAAATACAAATGATTGTGGATGTGTGGTTTTATACTTAGGGTAATGGAACAGGAACAAAATTCACAAAAAACTGGAAAATACCAATACATTTCAGGATACTCCTTAGGCAAGTAAGTATCAAACTAAAAGTGACCTTAAATTATCTTGGACCATGGGTGCCTGGGTGGCTCAGTTGGTTAAGCGACTGCCTTCGGCTCAGGTCATGATCCTGGAGTCCCGGGATCGAGTCCCACATCGGGCTCCCTGCTCAGCAGGGAGTCTGCTTCTCCCTCTCCCGCTCCCCCCTCTTGTGCTCTTTCTCTCTCTCACTCTCTCTCTCAAATAAATAAATAAAATCTTTAAAAAAAAAAAAATATCATCTTGGACCAGAAGGTACTCAACTTTTGAAAATTATAGATCCTTCCTCCCTTAGTAATTGGGAAAGAAAGCTTTTTTTCTCCAAAAGGCTTGACTTTTCAGAGAGTAAACAAAATGTTTCAGAGTAGCAGGCTTACCAGTTTCTCCACTGGGTTTCATGGAAATATTAGTAATCCTAATTCAGTAATCAGGAAACTCAAGAATTAAAAAGGTAGAGGTCATAATAAACTATCCTAGCATTCAGCTTGTGCATGAAGAGTCACATGAAAATACTCTACTGGCAGTTACAACTCATCTACATGTATGGCTGTCTGTCTCCTTCCTTCTTCTAAGCATCTGCCACTGACTTAATTCTCCAAACTGGAAAAAGAAGAAAAAGCATGTCATTTACAATGCTGAGGTAAGAATAATATATACTGTAGCGTTCTAACATGGATTCAAGAGCTTTTAAAATGTAAAATAATTTTCTGAGTAATTTGAAAATTCACATTTATAATTTTTTTCTAAATCTACTAATATCAGACTTCTCGTGTATAATCTTTTACAAATGGCACTAAACAGTATCAACTTTTATAAAGTAGGAATTCAAGGCATATTCATATTACGTAATTACTAATGGCCTCAACTGCTGATGATGGCAACCTGACCAAAAAAAAAAAAAAAAGCAAGCACAGACACCTCCCCCCTGCCAAAAACTAGAGACTTCAAACTTTCGAAAGGATACTGGCCAAAGTATTCATTTTGCTCTGAATCGACTTCAACATTCCTCTCTGGGAAGTCATATTTTCTTTTGTTGCCATAGCAATGCTGAAGGGGTAAAAGAGAAGATAATTAATTACATTGGCATTTAAAATTACCCTGCATGGATCCACCATACTCTTATTAAAAAGTGAACAGAAAACTAAGATAAGCAACATCACCTTGAAAAGCACAGGCAAAAAATAAAAATCATTTCCCAAGTCACCTTCACACTGTCCTTTTCCCAAATGACCACTCCAGCCCCGCTGCTATCCTCTGATGTCTTTTTGGACAAGGCAGTAGGCCATTTCCTGTGATTTTTCCCAGTCAGTTAAGCATCTGCCTTCAGCTCAGGTCATGATCCCAGGGTCCTGGGATTGAGTCCTGCTTCTCCCTCTCCCTCTGTACTCTCTCTCTCTCTAAGTAAAATCTTTAAAAAAAAAATGGTTTTCAAAGGGGCCAGCTACTAAAATATCCTTAATCAGGAACTGTTGAGAGGAAGTAGGAAATTACGATCATAAAAATAGAACCAAAAGTGTAACACATCACAAAATATTCATATATAACCAGTCCTTAATTTATGAAAAGATTATGTTCCAGAACTCTACTTGGGAACCAACTAGGCAGATTTTATTTTTTTATTTATTTGTTTATTTGACAGAGAGACAGAGAGAGAGTGAGAGAGGGAATATAAGCAGGGGGAGTGGGAGAGGGAGAGGGAGAAGCAGGCTTCTCGCAGGGATCCCAACATGGGGCTCAATACAGGACCCCGGGATCATGACCTGAGCCGAAGGCAGACGCTTAACCAACCTGAGCCACCCAGGCGCCCCAACTAGGCAGATTTTAGGAGACACATTCAACATTTTGCTGGGTTTCCAAGCCAGTTGACAAAGGTTACACATTCACTAAATGACTGAGAGAGATGGGGTAAAGTCCCTTCTCTTACAAAGAGAATAGTCTCTTCCACGTGACTACTCTGATGTACTGTTTAAAAGAATCTCAGTTAATATTTTTTACTTTCACTGCCAGGATTAACTTTCAACAGCCTTATCTCCCTGGACATTAGAATCCTAGAGGGCAGGGTCAGTAACCATTTTGATACGTAACACACGGGGGAGTGCTATAGATACTGACGTTATAAAAACAGCAGGAAACAGAATGTTCTTGAATAATTCTGAAAATATATGAAACATTAAAAAAAAAATAGCAACAGAGATGAAGAGATTCTGGGAAGATGATGATCAGAGCACATATTCCTGACCTCATCTCTGGTCTAATTTCCTCCATGGAGGAACACAAGAACAAGGCAGATATGAAGGGGAGGGGTCCATCTGAGATCCCAAGTTCTTTTGAAATCTCCAGGGAAGAAAGCCAGGTAGGCTATACTCTCTCAAGCAAGGGAAGAACCAAGGAACTGATGGCAGGGAAGACTAGATTTTCCTTCAAGCCTGGGGCAAAGACCTAGGTTTCACTGCATAGTGAGGAGCCCAGAGAGTGGAAGAGATGGACCTGCATGCATGGGAGCTGCAGTGATGGACGGAGCTGCTCCCAGTACCTGCAGCTGATAAAGGGCTGCTATGCACAACCAGAGGAACCTATAAGCTGAGAGCTGACAGTCCACCAGCTGGTGTGATGCCAAGCCCTGAAGAAGAAAAAAACTGCTGGGCCATCCACTACCACCTGTTATGCCTCTGCTTAGGGGTCTCTAATAGCCTGACCTATATGGGAGCTGACTAAAAGTACTTTTGAACAGGCAACACCAGGTATCCTATTGGAGGAAAATACTAGAGGGAGTACTCTAAGCAAATGGCAAATCAAAACTGAAATTTCAAGATTTGAGGAGGAGGCGAAGAAGAAACAAAAATGTGTGAGGAGATAGATAAAAGGATATATATTAGAACATTGTTTGATATAGTAAAAGACAAACACACAAAAACACCCCCCCTCCCATGGAAACAACTCTGGAATGGTTTAACAGATTATGATATAACCATACTATGAAATAATATTTGGTTATTAAAAAGAATAATATGGCATTATTTCTATTAACCTGGAGGAATGTTTATGATATACTGAATGATTAAAGCAAGCCACAGAATGTGTGAAGTATGAATCCTTTTTCATTTAAAGCAATAAAACATCTTTGTATATGTTTGTATGACAGTGAGAGCACATTAGAAAGACATTAACAACTGTCAGTTAATACATGTTACTCAGGGGATAGGAATGGAGGGACACTACCAGGAGATGAACTTTTTATACATTTTACTTTTAAACTGTTCCAATAAGAACATTGTACTTTTCTGAAACATACATATCTAATAAAGGAAATTGAAAAGAAAATTGCAGGAATTCCACTTGAGTGACTAAGAAATGTGAATAACATTATCAGCACCAAATCTGCTGCAGTTATTCACCTTAGTACCACTACGAGTCAAGCAATGATTTATAAAAGTTTTTCTCAGATCCTAGAAAAGATCAAGAATTGAGGGGATCAGGTATCTCTGAAGGTAAAACTGTGGAATACAGCTAGAGATGGAAATTCTTAGAAATTTGTACAAGGAACTGCCAGACCCCTATATTACCCTCCCTGAACCATGAAGTCAGGTGACTGCCCCCAGTTCAGTAGAAGATCTAACCTAGAAGAGACCTCAGAGATAATGACACTTTGAAGCTCTCAATGAAACAGCCAGGCCCCCTTCTGATCATCCATTGTGAGGCCTACTACTTGGCAAGTGTCCCACCACCCATGGACACAGAATGGGCTTCCAAGTACTGGATTTTGGAGCCTTACCCTTAAATATGAACAAAGAGGGGTGCTTGGGTGGCTAGTTGGTTAAGCGTCTGCCTTCAGCTCAGGTCATGATCCCAGGGTTCTGGGATCGAGCCCCACGTCGGGCTCTCTGCTCAGTGGGAGCCTGTTTCTCCCTCTCCCTGCTTGTACTCTCTCTCTCTGTCAAATAAATAAAATCTTAAAAAAAAAAAATAAATATGAACAAAGAACGAAGAATCACTACAAATTTGAGAAGAGCCTCTAATGAAAGACAGAGATCCAAACCAAACCAAACAAACCAGCAAACAGAAAAGTGAATCTGAGGAAACAGAGGCAATAATAGAAGCTCAAGAAAGTCTAAAATTAAATTATATTTAATGTCTTCAGAGAGAGAAAAGAAGGCATCACATCCATGAAACATATAAACATATAAATACATGTATATATGCATGTGTATATGTGTGTGTAAGAGTGTACTCACCCCTTAGAAAAGAGCAGGTGTAAATTTAAAAAAAGAATGGAAATTAAAACATAATAGAAGCGTTGAAAGGACAAATTGAGTAAACCCCTCAGAAAGTAGAAAAAAAGGTAAATGGAAAATGAAGACAAGACAGGAAAAACAGAAGGTCCAACACATTTATTACCTTTTAAAATTAAAAACAAAACCCAGAAAACAAAACAGTGAAAGAGGAGGTGGGAAAATGATAGTTTAAGAAAATTTCCCAGAACTGAAGATGAGTTTCCAGATGGTAGGAGCCCACCCAATGCCCAGTGCAATGAACTGGAAAAGATGCATGCTAAACTCACTATGGGGAGGTTAAAAAACACCCAAAACATGGGGAAAAAAGGATGACCCTAAAAGCTTCCAGAAGAAAAAAGCTCATCACATACTAAGGACCAGATATCTTAACTGGCACTGGACTTAAAAAATAATACTGAAGGGGCACCCAGATGGCTCAGTAAGTTAAGTGTCTGCCTTCGACTCAGGTCACGATCCCGGGGTCCTGCGATGGAGCCCCGTGTTGGGCTCCCTGCTCAGTGGGGAGTCTGCTTCCCCTTTCCTTCTGTCTGCCACTCCCCCTGCTTGCGCTCTTTCTCTGTCAAATAAATAAATAAAATCTTTAAAAAAAAGTGCTGAAAATAGCCACCTTCACAAATTTCAAAATTAATTCTAACCTAGAACTCTAACTTAGCTAAACAATGAATCAAGAATAGATGTGAAAAGTTCAAAATTGTACCTCCTGTTCTTTCTCAGGAAACTACTAAAGAACGTGGTCCAGCATAATGAGGGAATAAACTAAGAATATGGAAGACACTAAATTCAAGAAATAGGTGATCCAATAAAGGAGGTTATTTGAAGGCAACAGGAAAAGGGCACCCCAGGACCAGTGCAGTGGAGCAGGCCTGGAGAACAACCAGATAAGAGTAAAACAGAAGGAAGCTGGCTATGTTAATTTTACACTGAATTTTAGATCCAAAAACCAAAAAGAACACAAGAGTCCAAACTAACAACATCCTTTGCATCATTCTTATTCATAATTATATCTGTGATGGAATATGATACATTTAAAATGTGGTTGTTTTAACATAAATTTATAATGTACTTTAGAATGGGTATTATGGTCTTGTATAAAGTAACACAATTTCATTTAAAGAGAGGCTGAGCTTCTGAAGGCAATCTTTGAATCATATATGCCTCTGTTTTTTACACGGGGACTATCACCATCTCCCATGCACTCTGACTCAGAAGTAGATAAAGAAGATTAAAAAATAATTTCCACAAAGCACTTTGTATTCCTTAGAGAATGGATGTTATCATCATACATTATGTTATTATCTTACTGAATATGCATGATTGCCAGTACCACACACAGTATATCTAGACATACTTTCCCATCTCATTGCATCATTTGGAGTCACTGAGTGAAATCTAGGTTGTTGTTATTTCAAGGGTCAAATACTCAGAGGCAAAACAGAAGCTCCAAATAATATATAATGCTTTTAAAATGATAAATCATTGATATGCTTCCTGGAATTTTCTTACCTGCTCTGTAAACTAAACTCAGACATTTATTTTTTCAACAACAGACAATACTAGTTATACATTTAAAGCTTAAGAATAAATATTAAAAATATTAGTTCTTTTCAATTAATTGATGCCAGAGTCTATATTCAGTTGTGCACATATTCTTAAAATCTCCAAAAGGAAAAAGTAAATTGTTACATACAGAATATGCAAAAATACTGACACTTAAATTTTATATTATCTATAAGTAATCATAACTAGCTTAAGAGTCAATAAAATTTCGGGTGAGGGAAACCCAGGGCCGGGCCAGCCCTCTCTCCTTCCCAGTCCTGGGCATCGGGTGGAGCGGCACTTCTGTGGCCCACTCTCCGCCTGCCCCTCCGCGCCGCGGGAGGAGCTGCCGTCGGGAAGTGATGCCACCAAGAAGAAATGAGAAATACAAACTTCCTGTTCCACTTCCAGAAGGCAAGGTTCTGGATGATATGGAAGGAAAGCAACGGATGCTAGGCAAAATGATTGGCTCTGGAGGATTTGGACTGATATATTTAGCTTTCCCCACAAATAAACCAGATAAAGATGCAAGACATGTAGCAAAAGTGGAATATCAAGAAAATGGCCCTTTATTTTCAGAACTTAAATTTTATCAAAGAGCTGCAAAAAAAGACTATATCAAAAACTGGATAGAATTCAAACAACTTGATTATTTAGGAATTCCTCCGTTTTATGGATCCGGTATTACTAAATTCAAGGGCAGAAGTTACAGATTTATGGTAACGGAAAGACCAGGAATAGATTTACAGAAGATCTCAGACCAGAATGGTACTTTTAAAAAGTCAATGTCCTGCAGCTAGGTATCCGAAATTGAGTATGTTCATGGTGATATAAAAGCAGCGAATCTACTGTTAGGTTACAGAAATCCTGATCGGGTTTATCTTGCAGATTACGGAATTTGCTACAGATAATGTCCCAATGTGAACCACAAAGAGCATCAGGAAATCCTAGAAAAGGCCATAATGGGACAGTAGAGTTTACCAGCGTGGATGCCCACTAGGGAGTAGATTTGGTAAAGGTGCACATGGGAAGAATTATTCCTGTTTTTCACTAGGCCCTTATCAGAGTTTTAGAAGATACTATCTCTCAACAATAAGGAAATCTTTTCTGAAACTATAAAGTGTTAACTTGTGGAAATCTCTCCTAGTCGCCTTTCATATATCTTACTTATTTAAACTCACTTTGATGGTATTGGAAACACATTTGCAGGTAAATTACATACATAGTCCTTTTATTGGATATTGTACTGCCTTGCATTCCAACGCAGACTTAATTCAACAATTCCCTAATTAAAGTCATAACCTATGTCTTGTATTCATTTACCATTAATTAAACTTTAGCTGTTTATTACACTGCAGTCCAAATCCAACAGCCAACCCAGAAAGCCATGGAAAAGGAAGTAGGAGGTCAATATTGAAAATATATGGTGCAGAGTCCCACTGATGGTTGCTTTGTTCACAATCAATATGGTCAATGCAACTGTACTTTCTTAGTTGCTCTGTCAGCAAGACAAAAAGTCAATTCTAATGTTATGCTAGTAAAAAAAAAATGGTGATTACTGAAAAAGTTTGCCTTTGAAAATTATATTCTTTGTAAACTTTATTTATAAAAGTATTTTCAAATATGCTAAACCATATAAATAATTTAAAAACAGCTCTGAAAGGACCCCATGTCACTGAAAGGCAATTAGACATTTGCACTTGTTAATGGCTGTTGAATTGTTACCCTAAACTGATACTTTCTGGCGAGTTTTAGTTGGTGCAAACAACTGTATATTATTGCCTTTTCTATTAAAAGGACCAGTGACCATGTAAAAAAAAAAAAAGTCAATCAAATTTCACCTGTGATACCTACCAGATTTTGAAATAAAGGGAAATAGTAAAATAAAAAAAAACCTTATAATTACATTTTTTTGCTTTTTAATTAGCAAAATAGCAGTAGCAGTGATTCAACAGTTCTCAAATGTTCTTATGCTAGGAAGTATTCCAAATTTTTATACTCATAATTACCAGCCCTTAAGTAGTCCAGCTTTGAGTTGAAAAGCTTAATTAAGGCAGCCTGGTCCAAAGAAGATCAGGTAGAAAGAGGAGGAAATAAAAGGAAGAAAAAAGGGAAAAGGGTAATAGGGAAACTTTAAGTAAAAATTCCTTGGCAAGGGGTGCCTGGGTGGCTTAGTCGTTAAGCGTCTGCCTTCAGCTCAGGTCATGATCCCGGGGTCCTGGGATCAAGCCCCGCATCGGGTTCCCTGCTTGGCGGAAAGCCTGCTTCTCCCTCTCCCACTCCCCCTGCTTGTGTTCCCTCTCTGGCTGTGTCTCTGTCAAATAAATAAATAAAATCTTTAAAAACAAACAAACCTTGGCAATGTGTTTCACTTTATGTGCTGATGAAAGGGAAGGAGTCACAAGGAAGATATTTCAGTTGACAATTAGGCAATGGTGCAAAAACTTTGTTCAGATGGACAACCCAGTGCATGTAATTTAAACAAAATCTCCACAGATATGATAACTGTGTATTATTGTAAGAGATTATACTTTATTAAATAATGATAGAAACATTATAACCTACTGAATAAAATAAGAATCCATGAGTCCATTATCAATACAAATACATATTTAAAATATGAACGATGAAATATTTAGTGGTAGAGTAGCATCATGTCTGCAATTTAGTTTTAAGTAGTTCAGAAAAAAAAGTGAAAAAGCAAATGTGGCAAAATGTTAAGGTGGGGAATCTAAGTAAAGGGTATATGGGAATTCTTTGTACTATTGGAATTATTCTGAAATCTGAAATATCAAAATAAAAAGTTTAAAAAAAGTCTGCATTAATAATACAGCTACTACTTACAGATTACCTACTATCAGCCAGGCACTGTATTAGGCATTTTACCTCATACTATCTTTAATCTTCAAAATAATCTTTTAGGGTAGGTATTATAATCAATCCCTGTTTTTAAACACATAACAAATGAAGGCCCGGAGTAACTTATCCAAGAACAGAGATCTGATAAGTGGCACAAACCAAATCACACTCCAAAGCTTGTACTCTTTCTACAAGGTGGTAAATATAATAGTCATTTAGATAGAGCTCTGGTTCTAGAATTATAGAGATTCAGATCTGAGGATTTGAATCCTCAACACAATGTATCAGTCATGTGATCATAGGCAAATTACTTACCTTAATTTCTTTTTTGTTTTGAACACAGTGTTTATTTCACGGGTTATTGAAGAAATTAAATAAAATAAAGCATGTAAAGCACTTGAGCACAATACCATGGCCTCCGGTAAAGGTACATATGTTTGTTGATGTTTCCATGTACTTTATTATACCTTTCCTGAAAAATGCTTTAGACATTGCTGAATTCTAAACTGTAGAGATCAGATCTAGTTCATTTACTTTTTTACTGTCATAAGATAGTATCTAAAAATTCACCAAACCTAGAGAATTAAGCAGTTCAAACCAACAAATGAATGTCCCTTACCTTAAACAATAAACTACTTCAGTGTTATTACAGATAATACTAAATCTTACTGCAGAAGATTTTCTGTAGCTGCTGCGACAGAAACCAAATCTACATAAATGGTATAAATAAGACACCAAATCACACGTCTAAGATGGTTTTCCATTAAAAAGTGAGAATGAAAAAATTGAAGCTGAAAGTACTGAGTATGAATTAATCAGAAAAATTAACCTAGGTAAATCAGCCTAATTCTAGAAACAAATATTTTGGGCTTCAAATGTCTCTGATAAGAGAAGGATGCAGTAAAAATACATCACAATCCAGTGAAATTCCCATCTTTAAGAATGATAAATTAACTTTAACTCTAGTTACAGGGTTAACCTAATCTGTTCATTTATGTTGCAAGCAAACAAAAAACACACTAAAGTAAAACAAAAATTTTTTCCTACCTTATTGTCTCTTCTATCAGACGATCTGAGCTGCAAATAAAATGGAAATTAAAATTCTGAAATTATTAAGGCACATTTAAAACTTGTACTTAATTTTTCTAATTTTGTTTACTTATTTTTTTTTAAAGATTTTGTTTATTTGACAGAGAGACACAGCGAGAGAGGGAACACAAGCAGGGGGAGTGGGAGAGAGAAAAGCAGGCTTCCTGCCGAGCAGGGAGCCCTATGCGGGGCTCGATCCCAGAACCCTGGGATTATGACCTGAGCCGAAGGCAGATGCTTAACGACTGAGCCACCCAGTCACCCCAATTTTTCTACATTTTAGAGATTAACTTCTTAGCCACTTATATAAACAGAATACCCAAGACTTTTGAAAGCATCTGGAGAATATTCTAGGCTCTGAAATAAATTTAACTCATCTACCATATATAATTTTCATCTTAAGTTACTGTAGGAATTAGGGGACAAAGATGAACTTTAAAAAATGTCATAAATACCTTATATAAGCCCTGTGATTAGAATTTCAAAAATAACATGGGGAGCCTGGGTGGCTCAGCCAGTTAAGCATCTGATTCTTGGTTTTGGCTCAGGTCATGATCTCAGGGACATGAGATGGAGCCCCGAGTTGGGCTCTATGCTGGACATGGAGCCTGCTTAAGATTCTCTCTCTCCCTCTTCCTCTGCTCCTTCTCACCCCTCTCCCCCTCTTAAAAAAAAAAATTTTTTTTTTCAAAAATTACAAAGATAGTGGGGGAATTAAGAGCCAGACTATGTGGCTTTTGAATGCTGTCTCTACTACTTACTAGCTATCTGACATTAGGTAAATTACTTTATGGCTAAATTTTCTCACCTGTAAAATGGGAATGACAGACCAGCAAAAAAAAAAAAAAAAGCCCTATCTGTTAAGAGGATTAGAGAAGTTTATATATAGTGACTAGAACAGTAGCTGGTACATGGTAAACACTAAGTATTTTTTGCTATTATTACAGTAGTTTCTCAGTAACTATGGACTAATTCTAAATCTAAGCATAAAGTTGATATAAATTTCCATATAAACTCACTGTTCTGGTGAATTCTATTGATAAGTATGCATTTATTTTGGTAACAAATGTGTATGGAAGTGCCCTGGAAGAGAACTGCATCAGACAGGGGCTACAAAGATAAGGTACAAACTTCTACAGACCGTACTATGGAGAAAGACAATACATACACCTACAGGTGTCTTCGTAAGGTCGTCATAAACTCACAAAAGAGGGGGTGGTTAACTAGAATTGGGTTAATATCTCCTTGTTCAACACAATTGTTTTTGATTGACTGTCCTCATTAGAGCCTTTTAGTGTATTGAAGGGCAAAAAAAAAAAAAAAAAGACATTTTAGGATGCAGGAAGTATAAATGAAAGTAAATAATTAAATTGCCAATCTCAGCAAACCATTTTTTATTTTATTTTATTTATCTGAGAGAGAGAGCAAGAGAGCGCGCACTCAGTAGGGCGAGTGGCAGGCTAGGGGGAGTGGCAGGCAGAGGAAGAGGGGGAAGCAGACTCCCCACTGAGCAGGGAGACCGACATGGGACTCAATCCCAGGATCCTGGGACCCTGGGATCATGACCCAAGCTGAAGGAAGCCGCTTAACCGACTGAGCCACCCAGGCGCCCCCAAGCCATTTTTTTTTTAAGATTTTATTTATTTATTTGAGAGAGAAAGACAGTGTGAGAGCGAGCGCACAAGCAGGGGGAGGGGCAGAGGGAGAAGCAGGCTCCCTGCTAGTCTCCCCTTATCCATGAGGGATACATTTCAAGACCCCCAGAGAATGCCTCAAACCATGGAGAGCAGTGAACCCTATGTGTACGATGTTTTTTTTCCTATACCTACATACCTATGATAAAGTTTAATTTATAAATTATGCACAGTAAGAGAGTACAATAAGAATAAAATAGAAAAATTGTAACAATATACTATAATAACAGTAATGTGAATGTCATCTTTCATTCACAAAATATCTTACTGTACTGTACTCACCCTTCTTTTTGTGATAATATGAGGTGATAAAATGCGTATGTGATGAGATGAAGTGAGGGGAATGAATAGTAGCGTTAGGCTACTACTGACCTTCTGACAATATGTCAGAAGGAAGGTCACCTGCCTCTGGACCACAGATGACCACAGGTAACTGAAACCATGAAAAGTGAAACCACAGATAAGAGGGGACTACTGTATAGGCCAATATTCCTGATGAACACAGATGTAAAAATCCTCAACAAAATGTCAGCAAACCAAATTTAATACATTAAAAAAGGATCATACACCGTGATTAAGTGGGATTTATTCCAGAGATGCAAAGATGGTTCAACATCTACAGTCAGTCAATGGGATACATCACACTAACAAAATGAGAGATAAAAATCACGATCATCTTAACAGATGCAGAAAAAGCATCTGACAAAATTCAACATCCATTTATGATAAAAACTCTCAACAAAGCAGGTACAGAGGAAATGTATCTCAACATAAGGGCCATATAGGACAAGCCCACAACTAATATCATCTACGATAAAAAGCTAAAAGCCAAGATCAGAAACAAGGATGCCCACTCTTGCCACTTTTATTCAATACAGCTTTAGAAGTCCTAACCAGAACAATTAGGCAAGAAAAAGAAATAAAGAGCATCCAAATTGGAATGAAAGAAGCAACTGTCACTATGTGCAGGTGACATATTACATATAGCCATTTATTTATATATAGAGAAAACCCTAAAGACTCAATCAAAAAACTGTTAGAATAAATGAATTCAGGGCTCCTGGGTGGCTCAGTTGGTTAAGTGACTGCCTTCGGCTCAGGTCGTGATCCTGGAGTCCCTGGATCGAGTCCCGCATCGGGCTCCCTGCTCGGCAGGGAGTCTGCTTCTCCCTCTGACCCTCCCCCCTCTCATGTGCTCTCTCTCATTCTCTCTCAAATAAATAAATAAAATCTTAAAAAAAAAAAAAAGAATAAATGAATTCAGCAAAGTTGCAGAATACAAAACCCATGACTCAAAAATCTGTTGTTTCTATACACTAATGATGAACTATCAGAAAGAGAAATTAAGAAAAATCCCATTTACAACTGCATCAAAAGGAACAAAATACCTAGGAATATATTTAACCAAGGAGGTGAAAGGCTTATATATTGGAAACAAGACATTAATAAAAGACACTGAAGATGACATAAATAAATGGGAAGATATTCCATGCTCATGGACTGGAAGAATTAATATTGTTAAAATGTCCATACCACCGAGAGCAATATGTAGATTCAATGTAATTCCTATCACAATTCCAATGGCATTTTTTTTACAGAAATGAAACAAATAATCCTAAGATTTGTAAGGAATCATAAAAGACCCTGAATAGCCACAACAATCTTGAGAAAGAAAAACTAAGCTGGAGGCATCATGCTCCCTGGTTTCAAACTATATATTACAAAGCTATAGTAATTAAAATAGTATGGTACTAGCATAAAAACAGATATAGATCAATAGAACAGAAGAGAAAGCCCAGAAATAAACCCACACATATATAGTCAGTTAATTTATGACAAAGGAGCTAAGAATACACAACGGGGAAAGGACCATTTCTTCAATAAATGGTGTTGGGGAAACTGGACAGCCACATGCAAAAGAATGAAACTGGACCACTATCATACACCCTACACAAAATTAACTCAAAATGGATTGGCGACTTGAACATAAGACCTGAAACCATAAAACTTCTAAAAGAAAATGCAGGCAGTAAGCTCCTTGACATAGATCTTGGTGATGATTTTTTTGTATCTGACACCAAAAACAACAAAAGCAAAAATTAACAACAGGAACTACATCAAACTAAAAAAATTTTTTTTTTCCAAACTAAAAAATTTCTGCACAGCAAAGGAAACCATCAACAACATGAAAAGGCAACTTACTGAATGGGAGAAAATATCTGCGAATCATGTATCTGCTAAGAGGTATCCAACATATGTAAGGAACTCCTACAACTCAGTACCAAAACAAAACCAAAAAACCCAATCTGAATAAAAAATGGTGTAAGACCTGAATAAATATTTTTCCAAAAAGACATACCAATGGCCAAAAGATAGATGAAAAGATGCTCTACATCATAATCATCAGGGAAATGCAAATCAAAATCACAGTAAGATATCACATCGTACCTGTTATAATGGCTATTTTCAAAAAGACTAGAAATAACAAGTGTTGGAAGGATGTGGAAAAAGGGAAACCTTGTGCACTGCTGGTAGAATGTAAACTGGTGCAGCCACTATGGAAAACAGTATAGAATTTCCTCAAAAAACTAAAAATAGAACACATGATCCAGCAATTTCATTTCTAGGAACTGAAATAAAAAGCAACAAATAGAAAGCAAAAATACTAACTCAAAAAAATATATGCATCCCCATGTTCACCGCAGCATTATTTACAAAAGCCAAGATATGGAAACAACCTAAGTTCATCAACAGGTGAATGGATAAATTGTGATATATACAATGAAATATTATTCAGTGGTAATAAAAATGAAACATTGCCCTTTGCAACAACATGGATGGACCATGACAGCATTATGCTAAGTGAAATAAGTCAAGACAGAGCAAGATAAATACATGATCTCTCTTATATGTGGAATGTATATATATATATATATTTTTTTTCTCCCTCTCTTTGCTCCTCCCCCCACTTGTGTGCTCTCTCCCTCTCTCTCTTGCTCACTCTCTCTCAAATAAATAAAATCTTAAAAAAAAAGACAAAAATTGAATGATGACTATGAACAAGGAAAGAAGTTACCAAATCTGAGAAAGACTAAAGAAATTATAAGAGCATTCATATGTTCATTCTTTGGAGTGAAGGGTCAAAGAACTGTTGAGTCTAGAATATGGATAGTCTGTCCTCTGTAGCTATTTAAATTGCTTTCTAGAATGATAAAATTTAGAATGGAGAGATCCTCCACTGACATGGAGGTTGCTAGATGAGAGGAAAGGGGAAGGATAGAGAGATGGAATGAA